TTCGGGCGAGGCCGTTGGGGCAACCTCGCAGGCCGCAGGGGCGCGGGAGCCAGCCGTTGGGACAACCCCGCGGGCCTCTAGGTGCGGGCCGCGGCGCTCAGGCGGGCGGCAGCACGAAGACCAGCTCTGCCGCGAGCTGCTCCGCCTCAGCCCTGGAATCCACCGTTCTCTTGTCGAACTCTTGGAGCGCCTTCAAGTTGCCGGCTACAACAAGTTGCCGACGACCAGCTCGGACGATGCTACCCGGACTTCTCAATCGCCCTTTCGGGCACGCAGGCCCATGACAACAACAATTTTGCCCGCGACCAGTTCAGACAGACGAGACTCCCGCTTGGTAGCTCCCCGGTATTCAGGCCGCAGGAGCGAGTTCTAAAATCCGTCCTCAGACCTCCAAGTGACGACAGGAGACGGTCCTCCGACGGGGCTACCCGCACCGCCCACAAACAAAGTTCCCCCTTGATACTTCCCCGTGTTCAGGCCGCAGGAGCTGAGGAGCCCAAAAAGCTCGTTCGGATGACCCGCTCGGGTTCGAACATGAAGTGCGTGCCCCACAGGGAGGGGGCTCCCGCCTGAGACTTCCTCGCAATTCACTCACAGACGAGGCTCCCGCTCGAGACTTCCTTCAAAATCAAGCCTCAAAAGCCCAAAAGTGACGACAGTTACAAGGTTCCGATGACCCGCTCGGATTAGTCACATGATCGGCGGGCCTCATAAGGAGGGCGTTCCAGCCTGAGACGTCCTCGCAATTCACTCAGAGACGAGGCTTCCGCCTGATACTTCCTCCATATTCAAGCCTCAAGAGCCCAAAAGTGACGACAGTTACAAGGTTCCGATGACCCGCTCTGATTAATAACATGATCTGCGGGCCCCATAGGGAGGGGGTTCCCGCCTGAGACTTCCTCGCAATTCACTCACAGACGAGGCTCCCGCCTGATACTTCCTGCATATTCAAGCCTCAGAGGCCCAAAAGTGACGACAATTATAGGCTTCCGATGACCCGCTCGGATTCGTAACATGATCTGCGGGCCCCATAGGGAGGGGGTTCCCGCTTGAGACTTCCTCGCAATTCACTCACAGACAAGGCTCCCGATCGTCCCGAAACCCAGCAGACCAAGCGAGTGCACCAACGATCCCCGCACACAACCACCGCCCCCCCCTCGCAGTCACCCCCTATGTATATATATAATATATATATATATATATATATATATATATTATATATATATATATATATATGTATATGTCCTGGACTTCGGAACAAACGTTCTGCTCGCGTCAAGGACCTTCGAGCAAAGCGCTCCTCCTCCTCCTCCTCCTCCTCCTCCTCCTCCTCCTCCTCCTGTTCCTCCGCCCCCTCCCTTCTCCTGCTCCTGCTCCTCCTCCTCATCCTCCTGCTCCCCCTCCCCCTCCGCACCCCCATGCCCTTCCTCACGATCCCCCGCCTCCTCCTCCTCCTCCTGTTCCTCCTCCTCATCCTCGTTCCTGTCATTTCCCTCCCTGTTGAGCCCAGAAACAAGCGAACCGCCTGAGACATCCCCACAATATGGCCGCGAACGTGCCCGTGCAACCACCCCTGGCGGCTCCCCATAGGGGTGCTGCAACCAGCGCCCCGCTTGAGACATCGTCACAATCTGCTCTCCAAGCGAAGGATGTTGAGCCCAGAAACAAGCAAACCGCCTGAGACATCCCCACAAAATGGCCGCGAACGAGCCCGTGCAACCACCCCTGGCGGCTCCCCTTAGGGGTGCTGCAACCAGCGCCCCGCCTGAGACATCCTCACAACTTGCTGTCCAAGCGAAGGATGTCGAGCCCGGAAACAGGCAAACCGCCTGAGACATCCCCACAAAAAAAAGGCTCTGAAATCCCCTCGGTGGTTCCGTTGGGCTGCCTGGCACTTCCTCACAATTCACTCACAGACGAAGCTCCCGCTTGATATTCCTCCATATTCAAGCCTCAGAAGCCCAAAAGTAACGACAGTTAGACGTTTGAGAATGACCCGCTCAGATTCAAATATGAACTGCGGGCCCCATAGGGAGGGGGGTCCCGCTTGAGACTTCCTCACAATTCACTCACAGACGAGGTTCCCGCTTGATACTTCCTCCAAATTCAGACCTGAGGAGCCCAAAAATGACGACAGTTACAGGAATCCGATGACCCGCTCGGATTAATAACATGATCTGCGGGCCCCATAGGGAGGGGGTTCCCGCCTGACGCGTCCTCACAATTCACTCACAGACGAGGGTCCCGCTTGATACTTCTTCCAAATTCAAACCTGAGGAGCCCAAAAGAGACGACAGATACAAGAATCCGATGACCCGCTCGGATTAGTAACATGATCTGCGGGCCCCATAGGGAGGATGCTCCCGCCTGAGACTTGCTCGCAATTCACTGGCAAACGAAGTTCCCGCCTGATACTTCCTCCAAATTCAGACCTCAGGAGCCCAAAAGTGACGACAAATACAGGAATCCGATGACCCGCTCGGATTAATAACATTATCTGCTGGCCCCATAGGGAGGATGCTCCCGCCTGAGACTTGCTCGCAATACACTCACAGACGAGGCTCCCGCTCGATACTTCCTCCAAAATCAAACCTGAGGAGCCCAAAAGTGACGACAGTTACAGGGATCCGATGACCCGCTCGGATTAGTAACATGATCTGCGGGCCCCATAGGGAGGGGGCTCCCGCCTGAGACTTCCTCAAAATTCACTCACAGACGAGGCTCCCTCTTTGTGGATGATGGTGATGGGATGATGACGACGGTGTTTGATGATGGTATATGGTTGGTGATGATGATGATGATGATGATGATGATGATGATGGTGGTGGTGGTGATGACGACGTAATGATGACGATGGTGGTGATGATGAGTGCTGATGGTGAGTGATCGTGCGATTTTGATGGTAAATGGTGGTGATGATGCTGGGGACGAAGTGGTGAGTCAGCGAGTAGTGATGATGATGATGATGGCGCTGATGATGATGATCGCTCGATGCCGATGATGGTGAGTAATCGTGCGATGGTGATGGTGATGCTGATGGTGATGATGATGATGATGAGTGGGGAGTGATGGTGATGGTGATGATGATGCGGAGGAGGAAGCAAAGAGGAGCGGAGGAGAGGGAGGAGGACGAGAGATCCTGCGCGGAGGGTGTGCAGAGAAAACAAGAACCCCTCTTAGGATGTGGGGAACAAGAACCCCACTTAGGATGTGGGGAATAAACGAGAGAACGTAGACACTGTGCAGACGTCCTGCGAATGAAAAACGAGCCTTGGCCCAAGCACAAACTCAGCTGGTCCATTGCGGCACTGCAGGAGAGGGCGTGCCGACGGACCGTTGCTATTGAGTTTTGCTCCATTACGGGTAGCTGCCACTGCCCGCAATGCCTGAGTTCTCGCACCTGCTGATCACGGCACTGTAGCTGATAACGGTCGGGCTAACATCGCCTCCCACATCGAGCCACGCTCCGACAGGATTAGCTGCCACTGCTCGCCGTTCTCGCACGTGTTTGACCCAAGATCGAGACTCAGCTGGTCCATTACGGCACTGCAGGGGAGGATGCGCCGACGGACCGCTCGCACTGATCCTCGCACCGATACTGGTAGCTACCACTGCCCGCCGCTGCTTGCTTTCTCGCACCACATCTGCACGATAACGTGCACTGTGGTTTTTCGAGGATGCCGCAGCAGCGCCTCCAGGCCATCACCTTCCCTGTGGGTTTTCGAGGATGCCAATGGCAGCGCCTCGGGGCCTCCACCTTCCCTCTCTTCTGTCCGTGCTGCTCCCTGGTGCTGATACCCAGCGGGTCCATTGCGGCAACGCAGGAGAGGATGCGCCGACGGACCACTCTTGCTGAGCCACCACTATTACTGATAACTGCCACTGCCAGCCACTGCCTGCCTTCTCGCACGTGCTGATCCCGACGATGTAGCTGATAACGGTCGGCCTAACATCGCCTTCCACCCCAAACCACGCACCGACCGAAGTAGCCCTTGCACGCCTTTCTCGCACCTGCCAGGCCACGCATTGACACGGAAGCCGCAGAATCAACCTTGCGACCAGATTGAAATACGAACTGGTATGCTGCAGCCACTGCCCTTTGCCACCGCTGGCCCACGACAGCAATGAAAATAATAACATGCCGAGGGACCGCGTCTTAGTCTCACATGCCTGCCTGTTGTCCCCAAACGTTCTTCTCGCACGCACTGATCCGAGCATTGTAGCTGATGAAGTTGGCTCCGCGCCTACCCATCTAGCTTTGCAACGAAAACCCGTTGCCTCTGATTGCTCGCCTCTCACGTGCTGGCGAAACCGTTGTAGCTGATGACAGTCGGTGCACACTTCAGCTCTCGCATGCCGTTCAACTGCCATTGAGCACCCGACCCCTGCACGCCAAACACGCATGCGCCGAGTCCAGTACTGTGGGAGAGGATGGCAGGATTCGACGCTCGAAGAAAGTGAACCAACCACAGGATGTAGAACCAAGAAAAACAAAATGGTAAGCATTCATAAGGGGAAAACAAACCTACCTCGCTTTTGACCACCCTCGCTTCCAAGAGATACCAAACGATGCCAAATTGCAGCCTGTACTGGTCAGGCCGCTTGACGAGGAGGCGCGTGGTATGGCTTGGTTTTGCCTGGAAGCGAAAGCGGGGTAGGTAATTCACGCTCTGAATTCAGAAAGACCTGGCTGAAGGGCTCAAGGCCCTGCCGGAGGTCTGAATACCCCTGGATGGCCGCCTGCTCGAAACTTTCGTCCCACTTCGTCGCCCAGAAAAACGGCACACGCGGTGCTGCAGCCTAGGCGTCCCTCAAGCGCCAACGTGGAGGCGTGGGACGTGACGTCGAAGCTGCCCGAAGCCAAAAGGGTACGGAGAAGCCTCGAGCCACATGTGCTTGAGTTTATTTATTTTTCCCGGCCACGGCATCGCCCTAGAGGTCCAGGCGAACGCCTGCGGCCACGCTGGCCGCGCCAGAGGCTCAAGGCGCGGTCAGGGTGGTCAACGCGCCAGAGGCTCGAGGAGCACATGCAGCAACGCGGTCAGGGTGGTCGAGGGCGCGCGCACCTCGCGGCTGGCGGCGTGCACCAGCAGCAGCGCGAGGCCCATGCCGAAGCCGACGAGGACGTTGCAGCGCTGTTCGTCCAGCTCCTCCTCGCTCGGTACCTCCGCGCCGGCGACGCCGCGGAGCGCGGTGCGGCAGAGCGGGCAGCGCGGCACCGCTGGCCCGTGGGAGTCCACCATGCTGAGACACCGCAGGTGGAAGCGATGGCCGCACTCCGTGGTGGCGACGCGGCCCCCCCACCAGGACGGCGGCGCCCTCGCGGCAGACAGGCCGCACGAGGCCCCTGGCGTCCGGCGGGCCGCGGAGAGCCCCGGGGCCAGCCGCCGCCGCAGCGCGGCGGCCGCGCCGGCGGCCGACGCCGGCCCGAGCGGGCTGCAGAGGCTGGACCAACAAATGGCGCACGAGCCGTGCTCCGGGCACTCGCCGTCCTCGTCGGAGCCCTCGGCGGCGTGCGCGGCCGGGTAGGCCGCGGCCCACGGGAACAGCTCCGGCCGCGGCGCGCGGCGGAGGCCCAGGGCCAGCACCAGCTCCCGCAGCACCGTCGGGCCCTGCTCCGCCACGAGGAAACAGCTCGCCACGCGCCAGTCCGCGGGCATCCCGTGGCACGCCACGTACAGCGCCGGCAGGCTGCAGCGCGCGGCGCAGTTCAGCAGCAGCGCCGCCAAGCCCGCGGCGCCCGGCCGCCGCTGCGGCGGGCCCCCGCCCGAGGAAGCCAGGAGGCCCGCGGAGGGGAGCCGCGCGGCCCCCCCCGCGCCGGCCAGGGCGTACACGGCCGCCTGCTGCACGGTGAAGAGGAAGTTCGCGCCCTCGTGCAGGAGCAGGGGCGAGTGCGCCCGCAGCACGCGGAGCCAGAGCGGCGCCTGCAGCAGCCAGGTGGCCACCCACGCGAGGCCCCGGGGGGTCCGCGCGGCCTCCGTCCAGACCAGCTCGTCCGGCACCACCACGCGCACCAACATGTAGGCGATGTCGCCCGACATGATGGTCACGCAGAACAGCGTGACGACGACCATCAGCGTCACTGGCAAGACTTCCATCGCGGTGATGATCACCGCGCATGGCAATAACATAAAGAGGAATACCCACGCCACTGGCAGAGCGGAACCGATCAAGACGCTCAGCAGAGCGGAACCGATGAAGAAAATGAAAACGGTCAGTGGCAGAAGATCGGCGATGAGCCACAGCCAGAACTCCATGCCGCCTCGCGCTGCAGCGGCGCCGCCCTGCCGTCCCCCGCGGTGGCCCCCGCGGCGGCCGACCCCCCGCGGCCCGGGCCGGAGCTTGAGCCAAAATGGCTACGGACGAGGCGAGGTTGTCGACGGTTGGCCCCGAGGGCGGATAGCTGGCAGCCTGGCGGTCAGTCAAGCCCGTGGTCTGGAGGAGAAGGTGGTCGACAGCGGAGGTCTGGCGGAGGAGGTGGTCGGCGGCTGGCCCCGTGCAGACGCCCCACCTCCATTCACCGCCAGTCGCCGACCACCTCCTCCTCCGGACCCCCGCTCTCCGACGCCGTGACTCCCTGGCGGCGCAGAGCCCTCGAGAGCCCTCGACCCCATTCGTCCCTGGGCGGGGGACCAAACGGGCCTAGGCACCCACACTGAGAAGAAAACGGTCGCCAGTCTTGCCCTCCACACCACACCACTAACTCCTCCTCCTCCTCCTCCTCCTCTCCTCCTCCTCCTCCTCCTCCTCCTCCCTCCTCCTCCTCCTCCTCCTCCTCCTCCTCCCCCTCCCCCTCCTCCCTCCTCCCTCTCCCTCCTCCCTCCTCCCTCCTCCCTCCTCCCTCCTCTCTCCTCTCTCCTCTCTCCTCCTCCTCCTCCTCCTCCTCCTCCTCCTCCTCCTCCTCCTCCTCCTCCTCCTCCTCCTCCTCCTCCAGCCGAGCGCGCCTCCTCCTCCTTGTCCTCCTCCTCTTTCTCCTCCTCGTCATCTTCCTCCCCCTCCTCCTCCTCCGCTTCCCCCTCCTTCGCCAGCCGGGCGGTCGCCTTCTCGCGCCCCATGATGCCGCCGTCCGCCTTCATGACCGCGGCCTTGACGTGCTCGGCCTGCTGGAACCGCACAAGCCCGGTGGAGCCCCTGGCGACCACCTCTCCGCGCGCCGTCCGGGGGGGCGAGAGGGGGGGGGGGGGAGGGCACGCCGCGCCCGCGCAGAGCGACCCCGCCTCGGGGGCACCCGCCCCCATAATCGCAGCAGTAGTTCTCCTCCTCCTCCTCCTCCTCCTCCTTCCTCCTCCTCCTCCTCCTCCTCCTCCTCCTCCTCCTCCACCTTCTCCTCCGCCTCCTCCTCCTCTCCTCCTCCTCCTCTCCTCCCTCCTCCTCCTCCTCCTCCTCCTCCTCCTCCTCCTCCTCCTCCTCCCCGTCGTCGTCCTCCTTCTCTCTCTTATCTCCCTCCTCCTCCTCCTCCTCATCCTCCTCCTCCTCCTCCTCCTCCTCCTCCTCCTCCTCCTTCTGCCCCCCTCGCACAAGCTGGGGCCCCGTGAGTACACCGGGATAGCTGGGGCGCCCCCGCCAGTGTCGCCTGGATGGCGAGCTGGCGGGTGGTCGGTGCCGCCTGACTCGGCGGGGTATAAATAGAAGGGCGACCGTCCCAAAGAACAGGCGGAGGGGGGGTCCCTTTTCGGGCTTGGGGTGCGCATGCCCTGGGGGTGGGGGGTAGGCTGCTGTGGGACTGTGTCCATCCCCTCCCCGTGGGGTTCACAGTTCCCACGGCGATTCACCCCCCCGCCGGTGCCCGAAGCCGGCGGCCCAGAGGCCACCAAGACGCCCCCAAGAGGCCTCAAAGACGGCCCAATAGGCCTCCAAGAGGGCCCCTGGGAAGGCGCGAAGAGGCCAAAATCGTAGAGTTCCCGTACGTTTGAGGGATGACCCACGAGGCCCCGAAGACAGCCCCTCGGAGGGCACCAAGACGGCCAAGGGGGTCTCCAAAACGCCCAAGGTGGCCTCCAAGACGGGCCTGAAGCGCCCCACGGGGGCCCCAAGTCGGCACGGGGAGGCCTCCAGGAAGGTGTCCAACGGCGTCAAACGGGCCAGGAACGCTTTCAGACGGCCAAAGGGCCTCTGGAGGCCTCCATAAAGGCCCCAAGGAAGTCCCCAAGAGGCCTCCACGAGGCCCCCAGGAAGCTCCCAGGAGGCCCCAAGAGTGCCATAAGAGGCTCCCAAGAGTCCTCCTCCTCCTTCTCCTTTTTCCTCCATCTTCTCCTCGTCTGCTTTCTACCCCACGGGTTCCCCGAAGGGTTTCCACAACTGCTGGGGGGAACACGTGGTCACGTAATCCGATAGCTTAGCCGAGCTCTGGACGCAACGTTCGGCCACATAGGCGCTTCCCAAAGCAGGGGGCGGCGTTGATTCGCCGTATGCGTCTTCGCTTCGGCACCCCCTCTGGCTTGCCAAAGAGTGCACAGCGTGCCAGATTTTTGGTGCTGATTTTTGTTTTAAGTTCTCAACAGACATTGGCCCAACCCGCCGGCCACCTGGAAAGCCTCCGCAGGTTCATATCCGATCAGTCTTGCCACGCAAGACGGCCCTACGATTGATTCCAAAACGGTCGAGAAGGTCTCCAAGACGGCTAAGATGGCCCCAAGAAAGCCTAAGATGGCTCCAAGATGTCCCTCAAACGGTCCCAGATGCACCCAAGACGACCTAAGATGGTCCCGAAGTTGGCCCAAGACGGCCCCAGAGGCCACCAAGATGGCCCAAGAGGCCTCCAAGAGTTCTCCAGAAAGGCGCGAAGAGGCCCATATCATAGAATTCAATTAGGTGCGTGAAGGATTACCAAAGAGGCCCCCAAGACGGCCCCTCAGAGGGCCCCCAAACGGCCAAGGAGGTCTCCAAGACGCCCAAGATTGCCTCGAAGACGGCCCTGAAGCGCCCAAAGGGGCCCCAAGTCGGCACAGGGAGGCCCCCAAGACAGGTTCCGACGGCGTTAGACGGGCTAGAAACGCCCTCAGACGGCCAAAGAGCCTCCCTAAGCTTCCAAAGGCCTCCCAGGCCCAAGGAGGCCCCCAAGAGGCCTCCCGAAGGCCCCCAGGAGGCGCCCAGGAGGCCCCAGGAGTGCCACAAAAGCTGCTAAGAGTCCTTCTCCTCCTCCCCTTCCACCTCCTTCCTCCTCCTCCTCCTCCTCCTCATCATCATCATCATCATCCTCCTTTGTCTTCTCTCGTCCTCTTTCTCTGCCTCCCTCAAATGTTTCCCGAAGGGTTCCCACAATTGCTGGGGGGAAACACAGTCCGATAGCGTGTTCGACTGCACAGGCGCGTCCAGGAGGCATGGGGCGGCGGTGACTCGCCGTAGTCGGAAGAAGTGGAGCAAGTTCTGCCTGTTCTCCAGTGTCGAGGTGTTGTTTCCCGCCGTTCTGAGATCCTCCTCGGCCTGCCTTCGTGCGTTCCGCAGCCCCCTCGCGGCCTTCCCAGGGCCTCCTGAGCCCCCTGCAGGGTCGACCGAACTGGCCGTAAGACCACTCCCGAGCCCTGACAAAAACATCCGCGCCCCGTGGAGCCCCAGCGGAACCTTCGGGGCCTAGCTCGGCGGGGCAGCCACTGGGACCTGCAGACTGCCCAGGGCTGGTGCGGGTGGACAGCGATTCTGCAGCGGGCGGGCGTCGAGTGTGGGAGTGTCTTGTGCCTTGTCCCGGAGTGTCTGAGGGCGGGCTGTGTCGGGCTCCTGGGAGCCTCCTGCAAAACTCTCGGTGGCGCCCGTGTGTCTTCTTGGGACCTCTTAGGGCGCCTTGTCGAGTCTTCCTTCTCTTGCGGCGCTCTCTTTGGCCCCTTCCGCAAGCTCCCTTGGGCCCTCGAGACGTCTACGGGCTTTCTTTGGGCGTGGTGGGGCTGTCTCGGGACCCTTTGGGGACCCTCGGAAGTGTTTCCAAAGCTACCTGAAGGAGAACCCCTAGGCCCGAGGACCCGGTCGCCAGTCATGCCAGATCCGCCACAGTACCGTAGGCACTGAGTGGAGTGTCCTCAGGTCCCTCCGAGTTCTCTGCATCGCGTGTTGTAAACGATCATCCAGGGGCCCAGAACCCCGTGTCCCAGGAGTTCTCGCGCGCTCCCTGGAATGCCCGCGTGACTTTCTCCGGGGCCTCCGGAACGTGGCTGGGGCCCAAAGGATAAGATGGCATGTGTGGCCCGTGCCAGCGCTCTCTGGTGGGCCTCTCGGGCCGTAGTGGAGTCATGAGGGCTGGCTCCGCGGACCCGAATCATTGAAACACGTATCTGTGGGAGGTTTGTCGTGTTACTCTGACCTTCGGTCTTCAGGGCGCCCAGGACGGCCCAAGATGACCCTAGGATCACCCCAAGACGACCCCCTAGACCTCAAGAGGGGCCCAAGAGGCCCTCAAGACAGCCCCAAGCGGGAACAACGACGGGGAACACGAATTGACTTTTGGAGCCCTGTACTCTAGGATGACCCCAAAGACCACCTCCAGGCCTCCAGGCCGCCAAGAAACCCCAAAGATGACTCCAGCGACCCCCAAGAGGTCTCCAGGAGGCATGAAATAGACAGTCAAAAGGGACCCAGAACGCCTCAAAGTGAACCTCTCAGATGCCTGTGGTCAACGTTGCAGCCACGGTGGCAGAATGGGCTGAAACGCATGATATACATGCGGAGGGCGCTCATTTCAAATCACCACGTCACTGGCATCCTATGGTTTCGTCCCGATGGCCTCCTGGTCTTCACCGGGATCTGCCATTGAATCACGCGCCGGTTGACGTGTCCAAACCTTCCTGCCCATCCTGCCCCGTCACCTGCTTCTCCCCCTCCTTTTCCGCCTCCTCCCTCTCTCCTCCACCTCCATCCTCCTGTCGCGTTTGCCCTCCCTCCTCCTCCACCTCCTCCTCGCATTTCTCCCCCCCTCCGGCTCCCCCCGCTCACGAGAGCGCGCGCGAGGATGGGGGGGCATGAAAAGGAGGAGGATGTAAAGATTAGCGGGGATGAAGAAGGAGTGAGCAGAGGAAGAAGGACGAGGAGGAGGTAGAGGAAGGAGGGGAAGACGCCGGCGGCGCAGACTGCAGCTCCTGGAGCCAGGCCAGCTCGCGCCCGCTCGGGACAGTCTTCTGGGGCAGTCCAGCGACAAGCACAACCCGATCGACCCTCAGGAGTGCCGAAGACTCATACGATGAAGGATCGTGCTCTAAGGGATCGTGGGGCACAACTTTCGCCAACGTTCAAGGGTCCTGAGGTGCCCCAGAGCTTCTGTGGGCCCCCTGGGGCCATCAAGGAGATCAGAAGTTTCCGGGGGGGCACCCGCCGCCGGGCCGATGTCTCAGTCGGTGCGCCCAGTACCAGCATGGGCGGCCCAGGCGGGGGGTTGGAGTACCATGTGGGACCTGCTCTGGGACAGAACATACCGTAGACGGAACTGCCCTTTCTCCGACCTTGCACTGCGTCGCGCACAGCGGCTGTATTGTCTATGCGCGTATCCATGCCGAACGTGCCTACATACGTAACGACACACAGTGTGTCCATAGACGCCTATGACTATAAAATGAGGGTGATCTATTTTTGACTACCTACCAGACCACCCCAACCCAACCCGAAGACCCCAATTTCGGGTTGGGGGGGTACGGGTTCCATATGTGTTTTTTTCCATGTTCCCGGACCCCCCCCAACTGGAAATGGAGGGCGAATTAAGGCCTTCGGGTTGGGTTGGGTGGTTTGGTGGGTGGTGAATTTTGGCAGAGACCCGAGGTGCTGATCTGCTAGAGGCATGCAGACTTGGCGCCCCAAACGGGGGGGCACGAATCGGCCACGGGGAGCTGTTTTTGCCGAGAGCCGCAGGGAGCCAGGGGCCAACGTGCTGCCGAGGGAAGCGCCCGGCGGCGGAGCCGACGCTGGCGGAACGCAGAGGGTTTCGGACCCAGCGCCATCTCGAACGCAGGAGGAGGAGGAGGAGGAGGAGGAGGAGGAGGAGGAGGAGGAGGAGAGGAGGAGAAGCAGGAGGAGGAGGAGGAGGGACCTCGCATCGGGGGAAGGCTAAGAATGCGATGGCCTGCATTCGAAACCTTAAGAGCGCGGTCCTGCCTGTCCAGGAGGGGCGACAGGAGGCGCGCCCAGCAGCACGGACAGGTCGGCGCGCCTCCGCACTACCTGTTGA